TCGAAAAAAAAAAAAAAAGAATACTACTACCTCTTATTTTTTTATATATCATTTTGGCTTTATTAACAATTAGCTAAATAAATGTCCTTTTGGATCTTTTGTTCATATTTTTCCATTATTACCCTCGTATAACTAATAAATACACTACGTCTTTTCATATTCACTCTTCATCTGTTTTCAAAACATTAATCTCTATCCTCATTAATAAGGGTTATAATTGGCAAAAAAAATTCTTAATTATTGTGCAAGTTCTTAAAATTAACGACATTTATTAAAAATAGGAGGGAGTAATCACTTTGCATTTAAGGCTTTTTAAAAAAAAATATATATAACGATAGATTAAATGAATAATATATTTTTGAGAACTTAATTTGTTGTCTTTTGAATGAGATAAATTGACAAAAAATGAAAAAAAAAAAAAAAATTACCAATTTTTTTTGGTCCTTCTCAAGTATAATTATATTATGAAATATTATATTTTTTGCTTCTAAACAATGTATAATTATATTATGAAATATTATATTTTTTTTGCTTATGTTGACATTTAATTCGAAAATATGTGTTGAAAAAATATGTATTGTAACCATTAGATATGCTCTAAATCAACAATTAATAATAAAATAAAATAAAAAAAATTCAATGTAGTGGCTACCAACTGAAATACTACCATTTTAATTTCTAACGCGTTTTGTTGAACACGAAATAAACACATGGAGCATTGAATGATATGATATAATAGAGGAAAACGAAGAAAGCCGCTGTTTTAACAGCGGTTGAAGTGTCAATTACCGTAGAATTTTATTAACTATAAAATTAAACTACACGGTAGAATACATGCATGTAAAAACTAAAAAGGCTATAGAACTTTCGGTCAAAATTCCGTAAAAAATTCAACTTTTTTCCCTTTTTTTCTTTTCAAATTTTGCTTGCATTAAATACACCTATCTTTTTTTTTTCGTTTTTTTTTGTCTACTTAAATTAAAAGTATCTGTTTTTCTTTTCTTTCTCATTTTTTAATAAACGTAATTATATTTACACTAATTATTTACCATGGGTTTTAATTTTGGCAAATGATAGTCATGTATTGTTCGTTAAGGTGAAAATTAATTTGAATTTGATGGACTGAACTATAAAATAAGGCATGATGTGCAGATTATGTAAAGATCAATAATTCATGTTTATAAGTTCAATAGGTTTCTAAAATTTTGGTCATGCATGTTAAAATCACTTAATGATGGACTATGGGTATGATCATGGATCAGGCCCAATCTCAATAATATATAAAGGAATATGGTCCTAATAGTTAGTGTTGAGCACATGTATGATCTTGTCGGGGCCCAAATGCCAATGCAATGGCCAGTGACCACAGTTTTTGTGGGTAGTATTTTTTCAGTAACAACATGATCGATGATATTAACTGTTCCGTTGTTTTCTTAACATAATCGCACAATCACACACACACACACACACACACACACACAAAATCATTACCAAACATCACCCGACGATCAATGTAACTCATCATCAGTACATCGGAAATTGTGGGTCCACATCGTGGGCCCACGACTCGAGCCCTCCGACTATATCCTTAGCAAAAGCAAACCCCATCTCACGAAGTAACTCAACGGCCATCTGCGAATCATTTCCCCTTCGGCAAATCACATACAGAGAGGCTTCTCGACTGCTATCACCATTCTTGTTCTTCTCTTTCTCCTTGGCCAAGGCTACCGATATTTCAGATATTCTCTCTTTTAGATTTGCTAAAGGGATATTCAGTGAGTTCGAGAGGGAAGTGATTTGGTAGTGATGAGAGGGTCGAACATCGACCAGAACATGCGGCTCGCCTTTCGAATGTTTCTCATTGTACTCCTTGCTCGTTATTCTATCCTCTGAGGGGAGCAGATTTAGCTTCATTGGAGACTGGCAATTATGCATGTAAAGTGTTACAAATTCAAACTACACAAGAAAAAAAATGAGAAATTAACGAAGAAGATATGAGTACCGTGGATAATGGAGATTGAGTAAACTTTTCATAGTCGAATGTTCGAAAGTGTTCTTCTGTCATCGTACCATTTTCTCCACATGCTTCACACTGTAATGACCTCCCTCTGATTTTAACCTACCATAAGTTGGAAGAAACATAAATCACGATACTCAATGTTTACAACAGACTAAATAAACAATTAATGCGTCCTTATCAAAATAGTCCTCATGCCCAAAAGGCCAAAACAATACACTTTTTAACTTCAAGATGTATTTTACTTCTAAATAATCCATCCCCATAAAGTAAACTAACTTGCTGTACGTTTTCTTATAAAGGGATACATTCACGAGAATCACAAAAGTGTACATGAATATACATGCCCTTTATGCTAACAATTAGTGGATAGGAATTTCGTAAGGAACAAGGCATTAACAAGAAATACACTCACAATACGAAACAATTAGTGGATAGGAATTTCGTAAGGAATAAGGCATTAAAAAGAGATACACTCACAATACGAATTCTAGCAGACAGTGCATCCAACAGAAGCATTCTTCCTGAAAGTGGTTCTCCAACCGCACCTGCAACTTTTACAGCTTCCAGCGCCTGGAGGCACCCGATAATGCCGGGAACTGCATTTCAAATACAAAAGTGAGAATACGAAGACAAAGTTAAACTTTCTTCTAAACATGAGCACATGATAAGATTGAGATTCTACGAGCAGTTACAGTTGTGGCTCGTTTAACATTCAATAGGAAAGAATTCCAGCTGTTAGTCCATTGGGCACCTTAAAGAGCATATATAATATTTCAAAAAAAGTAGTGACATAAAAACACAGTGCGTGACCATATTTTATCTCAAAAAGAAAAAAAGACTGATTAAACTTGTACTTTTCATATAACTCTAAGACCATCAGTACAAACCGATACATGTTCAATATACCTACTCCAAGAACTCCACTGTCTGCACATCTCTGACATGCCGTTGTAGGTGGCGGAGTTGGAAATAGGCATCGATAGCATGGACCTCCGTTAAAATTGTAAACAGTCAGCTACAGAAGCAAAAGATGACAGATTAATAATATAGCTAATAAGGCGAAGTACACTACAACTATAATTAGCACATGGTTTTGGCATTCATAACCATGCAGTAATATGTTGCCATTGAAGTAGGTATACCTGTCCCTCCAGCCCGAGTGCAGCTCCAGAAATTAGAGGCTGCAGGAATGAAAAAGATGCACAGTTGGTAGAAAGAAAGTTTACATACAAATAAATGTTTTGGGAAAAGCCAAACTTATACTAAAGGTGAACTAGCACGCAAAAAATGATTTTCAGATAAAATGGAACAAAAAAAGTTCCCATTAAATAAAAATTTCGATGAACTATTTTAAAATAATTGTTTCAAAAAGGATATGAATAATGGCTGAAAATCAATCCTTTCATATCATTTTTTTCTATGTAAAATTAGTTCTCCCAGGCAAAGCTATAGCAAACAACTCCTTACCTTTCCCAAGACAACGCAACAATCACTGATCATGTAACGACTAGGTACATTGTCGGTTGCATCTACAACAATATCATACCTGGAACACATAAACAGTCCCAAATACAGAATTTCAGTTTGATGTCAATCACAAATATTAGGTGCTACAGGACAACGAAGAGGGGGATATATACTTTCGCATAATCTCCAAGGCATTGGATGTATGGAATGCTTCCTTGTGCTCCACTACTTGAACAGTAGAGTTAATCCTGAAGAAAAAGTGTTATGACAAACTAAAAGGTTATGACAGGGTGAGACAGTTATCATCTAAATTGAAATCGCCACTTATAAATAACATGAGCACATATACTATTTACTATTCCCATGTTACTGAATTCAATTAAAAAAGAATACTAAGAGAAAATTCACAAGAAGCATACGCGCGACATGAAGCAGCAGCAGACTCTACTTTTGATCTTCCAATATATGCTTCAGTATGGATTACCTAGAAAACCATGTCAAGAGTTGGTCGAGATCAAATGATATTACTCAAATGTATTAGAAAATGGTACAATTCTTCTGTATTACCATACACTATAGTACAACCTAACATCATCAAAGCATAAAACACATGTAAGAATCTGTAAGAGCTGCAGTGGAAGCTTTAAAACACGAAAGAGAGACAAAAATGATGAAGAATCTTCATTGCATCAAAAGTCCTTATGATGCTTATATTCACCAGCATTTGTCTTCTTCAATTCAAATAAACAATATAACACTATAAATAACGATGGGGAATTAGAGTACAAAACACATGAGGATGAGATTAGATGCACCGCATGACAAATTTTAGGACATGGAGTTGGAATTGTCGAGTTCAACAACTTCACATCATTTCAACTTCTCCACTGGCTTTCTTTCCATCATCCATCTGAACTATCAAACTACGTTCTCGAGCTTGCTTCATTCCCATTTATTTCGTACTTAATCATAACTGGCAATAATTAAGCTATTCAACCAAACCAAAAAATAAAACTCAATTTTATGTTTCCCATACCTGCCTGTGTAAATTGTTAAGCTCCACTACATCATGATCAACAATACCTACACGCCCTGAAATCATGCGCCAGTTCACAACATTCACCAATCTCTCCCCAACAATAACGAGCAAAAAAGTTCCAAACCTGGCATTACCTTCAGAATAATTAACATACCTACACCGCAAGCCGCCAAATAAAGCAGAGCAGGAGCGCCCAAGCCGCCGGCCCCAATTACCAACACCGAGGACTTTAACAAATTCGCCTGCGCATCAACCCCAAACGACGGGAGTATCAGGTGGCGGCTGTATCTGTGGATCATATCGGCCGACAAATTCGCTTCGGTGGAACGCGGGGCCGGAGAATCCGCCGCCTCGCTTCCATTCTCCGAGCTACGATTACTGAGGCGAGCTCGCAGAGCTGATATGCGCTCCTCGATTTGCGCCTTGGCCTTCTCCAACGAAGCGATATCCCGGAGGATATCCGCCGCCGTCTCCACTACTCCGTTGGAATCCATGGCCGTGATGACAAGAGTGAGTTGTATTCGAATTTGGAGCTGCACTGGGGGAGCAAACAAAAACCTGGTAAACAAATAAAATAAGCTGACGGGTTGGGCTTGTGTGCTCTCGGCGAAATACGGTTTTAATCTCTCACTCAAGCTGGAGTTGGGGCGTGGGCGTATAGTGTCAAATTTAATGCGGGTAGTGCGCCATATTTGGCCACATGTTGTTAATGGAATTCGATGGGTCCTGGGGGATGGCGAGAGAGTGCGGTTCTGGCTCGACACATGGCTAGACTCGAGCGGACCTTTGGTGAGATTCATTAATCCTCATTCCCGGTCGGTTAATACTAATGTCGTGGTCGCGGACTACGTGGATTCGAATGGTGAATGGTTGTGGGAGTGCTTTCATGGAATCCTCCCCTCTTCGGTCGTCCTCCGAATAGCTGGGACGATGCCGCCACGTGTGGAAGCCGGGGCTGATCGTATTATCTGGGGGCCTTCAGATGATGGTATCTTTTCGACTAAATCGGCCTATCAGACTCTTGTCGGTACCGCGAGGAATAATGATCGACCACTGTGGAAAACGATCTGGCGAGTTCCAGCACCGCAACGTGCACGAACTTTCTTATGGCTAGCAGCAAGGGAACGTCTCCTTACAAACGTTGAACGACAACGGAGGCATTTATCGGCGTCGGCTGCTTGCGACAAGTGCGGGGAGTTGGAATCCGTACTCCATGTATTGCGCGATTGTCCATCGACAAAAGAACTCTGGATGCGTCTACTACCGGCGGGTTATGGTGACAGTTTCTTCAGGTTGTCATTGAGGGCGTGGTTTGAGCAAAAATCTGTCTGTAACTAGGGCAGGTAATTATGAGTCTTGGAATAACTACTTTGTTGTTACTGTGTGGCGCGCATGGTTGGGCCGAAACGATCGCATCTTCATGCGTAAGAACTTGAGTGTAGAAAGCCGCCGCTAGAAGTTTTGAGGTTGTCGACCAGCTACATTCGAGCTATGGCAGATTATAAGAGAGCTGGAGCGGCTGTGCCTGCTACTCATCACATTAGCTGGTCCCGTCCGGAGTTGGGTTGGGTTAAATTAAATACAAATGGTGCGGTCCATCATAAAAATGGTACAGGCTGTGCAGGGGGCTTAATTCGTGACGAGGATGGGAGGTGGCTTACGGGCTTTGTCTTTAACATCGGCTTCTATACAATTACGAGCGCGGAGCTATGGGGCTTATTTCAGGACTTGTGGTTGGCTTGGGAGAGGGGCTATCGAAAAGTGGAGGCGGAGATTGATAATCTTTGTGTGAAGAACTTGATTTCTAATTCAGACGGAGCGGAAGGGCCCCATGATGGCTTAATTCGAGCGGTTCGTGATCTATTTGATAGAGATTGGAGTGTTCGTATCCACCATATTTATAGGGAAGCGAATTTTGCCGCTGACCACTTGGCAAGCTTGGCGGTTTCTTACCCGTTTGGACTACACCACCTTGACTCTCCTCCTGACGGTCTTGGTTCTTGGCTTCATCGTGATAATATAGGGGTCTCGTACCCCCGACAAGTCCTAACTTAGACCCTTTGGTCTCCTTTATTGTACCAAAAAAAAAAAGAATTTATATTTACCTAAAAAGAATGTTTAATGTGATAAATTGAAATGTTTAATGTAATAGGACGTCAAAATAAAAATATATATCGTTATCCTTTTTTTTCTGATATATATTATCTAAAATTGATTTTATTTTATTTTTTTGGTATAGACATGTTCATTAGATGTATATTAAAAGTTTAAAATAAGAAAATTTATTATTACCTTAAACGGTGGATAAGAACGATTGGAGGCTAGCAATCAACGTGTCAGAACAGTGACTTTTTACTCATTTCTCTTTTGTTCCAATCTATTCCTTTTGAACGATTGGAGGCTAGCAATCAACGTGTCATAACAGTGACTTTTTACTCATTTCTCTTTTGTTCCAATCTATTCCTTTTGTTTTTAGCCCTTTTTGTGTTTCTCTTACTTTTGGTTCTATTGAGTTTCATCACTAAAATACTATTTTGTTGTATTATTACCTTAAGATGGTGTTATTATTACTTAGCACAATTAAAATGCTATATTCTTCTAGAAAAAA